TGTATGTAGAAAACTATGGAAATAAATCAGCAGCATATAAAAGCGAGTGTCAGCATCAGAATGGCTTGCAGGAAAGAGAAAATAGAACATGTAAAAGAAATACTACCTTATCAAACTCTGAGTAGTGCAGAGGATGTGGAAAGATATAGACACAGATAACTCTTTTAAAAAAATGTTTTAAATTGAAGTATAGTCAGTTTACAGTGTTCTGTCAATTTCTGGTGCAACACTGGTAAATCCTAATTAAAAAGTGTTTGAGCAGTGTTACCTACTGAATATGAGAAAATTTTAGGAGTGTCTCAATCAGTTTTGCTTCAATTTTTCTTTTATGATATACTATAAAATTTTAATGTCTCTGTGGGTCTGAAAAAAACTCTTTCAACCAGTATAAAATAATTCTAAGAGACAAGAAAATAATCATGACAGTTTACTTGGAAGGATTTTTTTTCTTTCTTAGTAAGGCAAATAATAATAGTGTGTCTTACAAGAATGAAATCTTCGGTTTGATGAGATGGGCTGTATCTTTGCATCCTTGGGCAGGGTATTTCTATAGAACTGAGTCTTGAGTGGGATTACGAAGATAAAGAGCCCCATAAATTCTTCTCCACAGAGACTGTATCAATTTACACACATACCTGTTTTCCAGCACCTTCACCAATGCTGGATATTCCAATTTTTTTAATGTTTGAGAGCCTAATAAGTGAAAAGCTTATTTGATTTTGTTTCAATTTGTATTTTTTTGCTTATTGAATGTCCTATTACAGTTTTCCTATGAATCACTTTTTCTATTTTTGCTTCTTTTGTATATGTTGATGGTGATATTTTTCTTCATGGTAGGTTCTTTCGACAGCAAGGCCATCAACTTTTTCAAACATGTTAAAGTTTTTTTTCCACACTTTGTCGTTTGTCTTTCAAACTTAGGTTGTTGTATCTTTTGCCTTAAAGAAAATTAAAGATTTAGTCAAATAAAAAGATATGTATTTTCTAGTTTTCTTATTATTTCTTTCTTTCCTAACCAAGATTATAGAACTATTTTTCTATATTCTTTTCTACTGTATTTTTTGACTAAAAATTTTAATATAGTTGGAATCATTTTTGCCTGATATGTCAAGGCAGGAATCTAGTATTAGTTTATCTCTATGGATAGCTATTTCCCAACTTAATTTATTTCCTACTGATTAGAAATTCCCCTTTTATCTTATACAAGTTCTCCTGCATAGATTGGTTTCTGGGTTCTTCTCTGTTCCATTGATCTCTTTGCTTATTCCTTTGCTATCAGCAAACCAGCAATTTACTTTAGCATTCTCAATGGGGGTGGTGTCACCCCAGGGGGATGCAGAACCTCCCCGCCATGGGCAAAAATTGGTTCTTGAGGAGTGAAAAAATATTATTCTTTTTATATGTGAAGCATTGCTAAACATATAGTAAATAAGAAACATGCATATCTGTGGTATTAAGATTTTATAAAGGGTGAGAGATTAGGGGAAAAAATGTTTAAAAAGGCTCTGGGTAAGGCTATAATGAAAACAGGTTGACAAACACTATTATAACTTTATTTTTTGTTGTTGTTATATCTATTGATTTTTTTAGACATATTTATTGATTTATAATCATTTTACAATGTTGTATCAAATTCCAGTGAAGAGCACAATTTTTCAGTTATACATGAACATATATATATATTCATTGTCACATTGTTTTCTCTGTGAGCTACCATAAGATCTTGTGTCTATTTCCCTGTGCTATACAGTATAATCTTGTTTATCTATTCTACAATTTTGAAATCCTGTCTATCCCTTCCCACCCTCCGCCCAATAGGTACTGATACCTAGTTGTGTCCTCTTTCAATATTTTTATTTCAATTTTTTTCTTGCTATTCTCATTAATCTCCCCCCCCCCCCAAATGTTAGCAGTAATTACTCTCTGTTTGTTGAATGTCCCAAGCTGAGTCCAACCTACGGGACTCTGACCTTGGAGCCCCCCCCCTTCTCCATCCTCCCTGTCCACCCTTTCTACCCTCACACGATGATTTTCTTTGTGTCTTTACCCGTGCACAAGACTGTATTTTTAAATTTTAGCTTTTCACTTGTTCATTTTCTGCCTTTCTCACTAGAATGAATTCCGTTAAGTGCAGGGACTTGGCTTTCTCACCACGTTATCCTCAGGCATGCCTGGCATATGGTGAGAACTTTCTAAATGTTCACTGGATGAGTGTGTAAGTTTATCCCGTTCTAAGATGGTCCATTGGAATCACTGTTGGAAGTATATTCCATTTATAGATTAATTGGTGGAGAATTGACATCTTTTCGCTTTTCAACCTTTCCCTCCAAGGATGTAGCATTTCTCTCTCTATTGTTTTCTTTTATGTCCTCAGGGGGAAAAAAAAGTCTTTATATAAGTCTTGGACATTTCTACTTAGATTATTTCTAGGTATTTCAAGTTCGTTCATGATTTCTTCTCTTGTGAGTAGAGATCTTTTAATTTTTCTATTATATTTTATTTGTTTTAGTTTCCTATTGCTGGTATGACGAATTACTGCAAATTTAGTGGCTTAAAACAACACAAATTTACTTACAGTTCTGGAGTTCAGAAGTCTCATTTAGTTTCACTGGGTTAACATTAAGGTGTCAGCAAGCCTGTATTCATTCTAGGAGCTCAAGGGGAGAATCCACTTCCTTGCTCTTTCCAGTTTCTAGAGCCTGCCTACATTCCTTGGCTCATGGCCCCATCCTCATCTTTAAAGCTCATCAGTTTAACCTCTGATTTTGTCCTTAAAGCCCTCTATCCCTGATCTTCTTGTTTCTCTCTTTTAAGAACCCTTGGATAATCCAGGATCATTTCCCTGTCATAGTCACATTTGCAAAATCTGTATGCCATGTAAGGTAACATGGTTACAGAATCCAGGGACCAGGACGTGGGCTTCTTTGGGGGACCATTGTTCAGCCTACCATACTTGTTGTTGCAGATATGTAGATAGTTATTCATTTTTCTATGTTCTTGTGTTTGGGTGCACTTTGCCAAGTTCCTATTATTTGTATTTGTTTTCTATTTTCAAACAATTTCCTATTTGTTTTTCTGTTGATTGTCTTAGACTTACTGGAAGTTGCATCATTTGTTCCCTTTCTTTCTGCTATTTATAGCTCATTTTTTTTCCTTGCCTTTTTCTGCATTGTCAAGAATTTTCTGACTAATGCTGAATAATATCTTTGAAATCATGTACCCTTGTCTATTTCTTAACTTTACTAGAAATTGCTTCATTATTTTGCCACTAAGTATGGTGGTTTCTAATAGACACTCTTTATTTTTAGGTTTATTTATTTATTCATTTTTGATGGAGGTGCTGGGGATTGAACCCAGGACCTCCTGCATGCTAGGAATGTGCTCTGCCACTTGAGCTATACCCTCCACCTTAAACACTCTTTTAAATCAAGGAGTTTCTATCAAATTAAATGCCAAGATTTTTAGTCAGAAATGTACATTAAATGTATTAACCGTCATGATTATTAAAGTGACCATATGGTTATCTCTTAATCTATTGATAATTTTCCCAGTAGTGATCATCTCTGTTTTCCCGGAATGAATCTCCCCTGTGTATAGTGTATTGTTCTTTGAATGTACTGCTGACTTCTAATTGTTAATATTTTACTTTGGATTTTTGTATTCATGTTAATAAGTGAGTTTGACATAGTGTGTTCAGTGATGGGTTATGCTGTCCTTCTGCAGCTTGGGCATGTGAATTACCCAGTTACACTGAACGAATTGGGACACTTTCTACCTTTTTGTATGGTCTGGAACTACTCATATACTGTTGAACTTATATAATTTTTGAAAGTTTCACAAATGTGAGTTTCCCTGGACCACTACTGCTTATCTCTAAAGCCATCTTTCATACCTAGTGGTGAAGCTGAATCATCTATACTTTCTTCCTTCCTCTGTCTTTTAATATTTGAGGTATAGCTTGTGACCAGGTTTTCCCTGGGCAAAGCTGCCCAATCCATAAAAAGGGGCGATGCCTATCAACTGGGCTTCATTCACAGGGACCTGTTGGGCCAGGGGCTTACACAATAAAGATCTGGCTCCCATAAGACTTTCTTTTTTCAGGTGCTTTGGTAATGGTCTTTATCATATATTAATCATCACAGTGTTTCTATGAAACTTCTCAGCAAGTCTGCTATGTTATTTTCAGTTTAAGGACAGGGGTCATCGCTGAAGGAAGTAACCTCTGGTACTAGAGTTTTGAATAACTAGTCTGTTTTTAAAAGCTTCTTGGGGGGAGTATAGCTCAGTGGTAGGGTGCATGCTTAGCATGCATGGAGTCCTGGGTTCAATCCCTAGTACCTCCGTTAACAAATAAATAAATAAAAACCTAATCACCGCCCCCTCAAACAAAATTTAAAAAAAAAAAAAAAGCTTGGGGTATGTGCCTCTACATTACATGGTACCAGATCTGAAATATCTTTTGGATTGATTACTGTGAAATTGAGCAGAGGCGAACAGGTGCTTCTTTGGTCATAAGAGTTGAAGAAGCCCAAACCAAGAGTTACCCCTCCCCACCTTTCATCATGAAAAGCCTGACTGCTTGAGGTAGCCTTTTTCATTTCCTCAAGGAGCAATTCTCAATTCTCTGCTGAAATGTTCCTCTCAGCTCAGAATTTCAAACCTATGCTAATTTGTCTAAATGAGGTTGTCCAAGGCCAGGACGATGAGTTGCAGTTTTATCTTAGTAAACCAAGGGAATCTGCAGTGAATGGACTTAAATAATTTTTAAGAAGGAGCCTCAGAGTGGGTATCTTTTGATCTTAAGTCTTTCATCAGGGCTGAGTTTACATAAATATAAAAGTCATATTCCTTGGGCTGCTACCATTAATTTCTAAATTAAAATAGTGCTATTTTAATTCAAGTCATCCTATGTAAATGCTTATCCTTGGAAGATTGTTCAGTTAAAAGGTAGCATTTTTGTATAAGGTGTAAGTTGATTTCTCATTCTTTTCCCCCTGCAGTAAAACAGACCATCAGTAACATTTCAATATTTAATGAAACCTGCTTGAGATGGAGAAGTTTGAAGACAGCTGATGTAGAGGAGATGTACTTAGTAAGTTACTGAAAGTTACTGTATTTATAGGTGTTTGTTTTTGGGGGGGTGGGGCTTTCAAAAAATATCAACAAACCAAAAAAAACATATAGCTGCTGTTATCAGTGGAAGATTTATAGTGACAATTGCAATAAGAAGCAAGAAAATGGGCACTTCTGCTGCATAGTTGAAGACAGAGACCTAAGGAATTGATGAGAAAGCCACGAGAGTTTCTTTGTGCAACATAGCCTGATGCAGAGCCAATGTTCAGGGTATCTGTGGGAGGAATCCAATAGCTTTTGCATGTCTGTCTCTCTACACCAGTGTCTCTGATTAGGGCTTGAATGTGTTGCCTAGAGAGTCCAGAGGAACGTGTGAAGCAAGGTGTGGTTGTGAGTAGGTAAGGTAAAGACCATGGGATGAGCTGCTGCTGGAAGAAATTAAGTCAGAAGAAAAACGTGTCTATTGATCCAGAGGCTGGGATGTTACAGGAAAGTGTAGGGAATGTCAGAAGGGGGCGGGCAGAGGAGAAAAACCTTTCCCAGATTTTACCAGGCCTGTTAGAAGTATCCTAGTGCACATCCTGATCTCGAGAAGCCTTAGTTCAGATTCTTAATTTTTTTCTAGGAAAATGTTCTTTGGCTTTGCTCCTGCACTTTTGTCCACGGACTTTCTCATTGGTCATGTGCCATTATGTGTGTGAGAAGGAGAAAGAGACAGTTGGGGGCTCAACCTTTTGTGCATTTTGATTTTAAAATATATTTGTTATATTGATAATGTTGCCATTACAATATTTATGGTATTACAACTCTAATATTTGCTTGCTGCCATATTTCACTTTTTGAAGAAAGCTTTGAATCGAGAGCAAGAGAGCTCGTGAGAAAGGGTAAGTATCCAGGCATTCAGAGCCTTTCAAGCAAGCAGTTCACCTAGTGAACTTTTCTATGTTTCAGTTCCACATTTGGGGCCAGAGATGGTATCAGAAGGAATTTGCCCAGGAAATGATCTTTAATATCACTGCCAGCAGCCAGGCTCCTGAGACCTGTTTGGACCTGCATCCTGGTACCAACTACAGTGTCACTGTCCAGGCTTTGTCTTCTCAGAGTCCTGTGGTCATCTCCCTGACAACCCAGATAACAGGTAAATCTTGAATAACAGCATTTGGACGAATGAAGTCACCACAGAGCTGTGTAGGCTCAAATAGGAGGAACATTATTACTTTCTTTCAGTATATAATGAACTTTGAGGAAGAAAGACATGGAGTTGGAGGGGGTACTAAAGGGACTGCAATGGGAGCTGTCATGTTTTATTTCTTAAATAGATACCCGAAAAAAAAAATGGCAACATTGATTAAATCTGGGTAGGGTGTACATGATGTTGGTTAAATTCCTTCTGGATGGTTGAAATATTTTAAATAGTTCATACTTGAAAAATTTTTGTTATTACTCTTTCTTTTTCAGTAGCTTATTTGATTGTTATTCTGTTACCAGTACCTGAAGAGAAGGTAACTCTTAGGGAAAAATGACTGCATTCCCACTCTGGTCCCCTAGAAAATTCACTTTCTGCTCATTTCCTCATCTTCCTTCAAATCTGTGATGCTCCCCACCCCTCAACACACATACTCTGAGCTAAAACTCAGAGTACTAGCTTCTTATTTCTTATTTCACTGAGCAATTAGCAGTGATCTGGTGAGGTCTTTCCACTCCCAAACCTCCCGTTGCTACCTGCTTGCAGAACCGTATGTTTTGTCTTGTCTCTTGTCCCCACTCCTAAGGCGACCCCCTCCCCAGCTGATGTACTGGATCCCACCCCTTCGTGCCTAATCATCAGTTCCCCCCAGATAGAATTAGTCCCAACACTGCATAGGCATGTTGTAATTTCTCCTCTTTAAATGAAAACAAAGAAAAGATAAACACACTTCTTTCCGTCTCATATTTCCCTCCAGCTACTCTGCCTTCTCTCATCCCCTCTTTACAATAAAACTCCTTGAAAGAATGTTGTGTAGGGCTCCATCCACATCCTTACCTCCTCTTCTCTCTTTCGCTGGTTCCAGTCCAGAAGCATCTGTCCTCAATGCTTTACTGGAAGTGTCTCCATCTTGCAAAATCCACTGGCCAATTCTGTTCTTACCTGATTTTCTCTACAGCATTTGGCTTTCCCTCCTTGAAACACCTTTCCTCTTGGCTTTTGACTCCTTCTCCCTTGCTGGCTGCTCCTTCCCAGTCTTTTTCACTTAGTTTCATCTACTTTTCTGATGCCCCGCCCCCTGCCTTCTTTCTTCTCTTTCTTTTTCTTCACTATCTACCCTTTCTGGGTGATCTCTACCCAGTGATCCCTACCAGTCTTATGGCTCTAAAAATTACCTATATGCTGAGCATCCCCAAATTTGTATCCTAGTCCTGATCTTGCCTCTGAGCTCCAGACTCACGTATTCACCTGTCTCCTAAACATATCCTATTGAACATCTAATAGGCAAACCCAACAGAACTTTTGATTTCTCCCCTCTTCTCTCACCCCCAAATCTATTTTCCACCCAGGTTTCCCTATGTCAATTACTGGCATTCCTGTTCACCAACCACTCAGGCCAGAAAGGAATTATTATTAATTCTGCCCCTCCCATCAGTTTCTAATCTTGTCAACAACTCCCACTGGCTTGTTTTGGAAATATATTCTGAATCCAATCACTTCTCCCCACCTTTGCCTTTACCACTAGCAACCTAATCCAGCCAGCAACCTTTTGCTTGAACTCCTGCAGTAGCTTTCTTCTTTTTTTTTTTTCTTTCTTTTCCTTTTTTTTTCTAAATTGAAGTATAGTTGATTTACAGTGTTGTGTTAGTTTCCGGTGTACAGCATAGTGATTCAGTTATACACACACATACACACACACACACACATATATATTTATGTTCTTTTTCATTATAGGTTATTACAAACTATTGAATATAGTTTCCTGTGCTATACAGTAGGACCTTGTTGTTTATCTCTTTCATACAGAGTAGTTTGTATCTGCTAATCCCAAAGTCCTAATTTACCCCTCTCCCCTTCCCCCTTTGGTAACCATAAGTTTGTCTTCCATGTCTGTGAGTCTGTTTCGGTTTTGTAAATAAGTTCATTTGTATCATCTGTTTAGATTCCACATATAAGTGATATCATTTGGTATTTGTCTTTGTCTGACTTACTTCACTTAGATAATAATCTCTAGGTCCATCCATGTTGCTGCAAATGGCATTATTTCATTCTTTTTTAATGGCTGAGTCTACAGTAGCTTTCTGACCCTTCTACCTGCTTTCACAGTTGCCTGTCATCTCCTGTCCTAAGCCTTAATCTTCACCATAACTTTAAAAAGATCAATCAAAGTACTCTTTTTAAAATGCATATTAGAACACGTCATCCTCGGCTCAAAACAGTCCGATGAGTTTGCAATAATGTTCAAAAAGAATCCAAGTTCCTGACCATGGAACATGTGGTTTTTTCCCCCTGCCTACCTCGCTGACTTCATCCCTCTCTGCTCTCTCCCTTTCTCACTAAGCATCAGTTGCCTCCCTGCCCTTGCTGTTTCTCAGTCAAGTCAAACTTGTTCTTGCCTCCAAGTCTTTCCATCTGCTGTTGACTCTTCCTGGGACACTCTCTTCACATGGCTTCTTTGTAATCACTCAGCTTTCTGCCCAAACAGACCAGAAAGAATTCACCAACTTTTGGGCTGGAAAGAGAAGTAATGTTCAATTTGGACATTCTTTCCCATGGTGACTTATTAAAATGAATAGCTATTCAGTCTTCTACTCCTTGGTCCTTCTCACGTTTGGATGGTTTGCATTGCTGAATCACATTAGCATTTCATAGTTTTTGAGTTGGGGAGAGGGAGTTTGGTCTTGAGACACATTTCTACCTTGTTTTGTAGGCTGAGTACAGCCCAGTAGTGCAAACATCCTGCGTCTGTGTTTATGGCCACCAGGGGACGCTGTTGAGCTGTTTAAGTTCCTTGAGACCATGCCTGCATATTTTCCAAAATCTACCCTACTTTAAAGAATTTGCGGTTTTATAAAAGTGTGAAAATTCAAGTTGTTAAGATCTTCTGAAGGGCTAAACAAACAAACAAAACAAGAACAAACCCCAAGCCCTCTCTTTAATAAAAGAATCTTACATGTTGATGTGAAGAGGTATGCCTAGTCACCCAAGATGTGGCTTTGTTTTAGTAAAATTGTGAACTTTTGAATTTTATGAGAAATATGAGGCAAGGGGTTTGGACCTGGAATACGCAGCAGCTGAGTTCCCAGAAGAAAAGTGAATGGAATTTCCCTTCTGAATGTCTTGCATTAAACTAAATCCTATTGATGGGAACAGGATGAAACCACGCGCTTTAAATACATTGCTGACCTCAGAGGAGAGGAGTTTGGGGCATGTTGAAGGACAGAGGCAAGTGCTGCGGTGAAAACAGAAGAGGGTGCTGGTGAGAAGGGTGGTGAAATGGAGTGTTTCTGACTCACGGCTGGCAGCCCGTTGATGGGAGTTCTTCAGAGCAGCCCCGCCATTGACAGTCCCCTGAGGACACGGGGGAGAACAAACTCGTATCCTCGATGGAGACCCAGAGGGTCAGAAGACCTGTCATACATTGGTTATGCTGTTTTCTAGCCAAGTCAAAAAAGCTTGTAGAAAAAAATTTACTTCTCATAGAGAGAGGGAGAGAACCGGGGAGGGACGGGAAAGAGAGAGAGAAAGAGCGAGAGAAAGTGCCTGCGTGAATGTCAAGATGAGGCACTTGTTCGGCACAACATCGTGATCATTTGAGGCTGAACGTTTATTATGGCACCAAGAATGCTGGAGGAGAAAAGGGAAACAAATGTGTAAAGGAAGTCATTCCTTCCCATCTTTAGTACCAAGCCTGGCACATGTATGGGAACTTTTCCATCTCTGCCGGCATTCGTCATAAGAAAAAGAGAACGGACTTTCTCAGATGTTCAGGAGAGCCACTGAAAACACAGGGGTGTCCCACGCGTTATCTGACTCTCCCTTTAACGGAGCGGTCCGGTGAGGATAGCTCTGATTCCCCGCGCAGGACCAGGGACCACTGCCCCCGCCTCCAACACCTCCTCTCTCACCGTTGAGCGTCCTCAGGAAGGGCCGTGCAGGACCAGGTTTCCTGAGTTTTTCTGCTGTGGGCTTCTCTTCCACAAACCACCCAAGGACAGTGTGCTCCTGTGTCCTCAGTGAGAACCCTGTCTCCCCAGGCTGGTTCCAGGGTACCACACTTATTCCTGCTGGTTGCCTTGGCTCCTAGCAGGCAGAAGCTGCACCAGAGGTCAGGAGAGGGGCTGGCCTCCATCCCAGCCGTCTCCCTCTTTGTCCAGCCTCTTTCAGAGTCTTTCATGGATACAGGTGCTTTGACATTTGATGACCTAATGTTAGGTCAGGGCAGGAGAGGGGCACACATGTCCTTCCATACCTCCATGGGCCACCTGTTCCTCTTGTTCCCAGGAAGTTCCCAACTGCTTTCTAGTTTCAAATCAAACCCTTACCCCTCAAGGAAATGGCCACATGGGGATGCATGTCTCCCCCTCCTCCCACTGACAGCATCCGCATCCTGGCTTCAGCCCCACTGAGACCGGGTGGTACCACAGAGAAGAACGGCTGGATGTATTATTTTCCTACATTCACGTTAGCTTTTTACAAAATGTGAACAGGAAAGGTTCTTTATATCAGAAGCCTAAAACCCAGGGTTTTTAATGTGTTAGGAGTGGGAGAAGGGTATGCTATGACTTAACAATTTAATTCAGCAGGTATCTGTTGATTGATTATGTGGAAAGACTGGTGCTAAGTGCTGGAGGGGAATAAAGATAGAAGATTGTTCCTCCTCCCTGGGAGGCCAGGTCGCAGAGCCTCACTGACAGGGGAGGTGGAGCTAGCCTTGTGGTACCTGACGATTTGTGGTGGAAGCTCCGTTTTCTCTAGTGCCATCAATGTCAGTTCATCATACCTCGCGTAGGGGGCGTGGTCTAGTCGGGGGAGGTGCCCAGGATTCAGAAAGAATTATTGGGGTGTTTTATTTATATGTGTTTATTTGTGTGTGTTAGTTCCTTGCCTTTACCTGAAGTTTATAGCATAAGATTGGGACCTTTGTTTTATTTTGGTGCAGCTCAAAACTTCTTCTACTTTTGGTTCTTTCGGTTCATTTTAGTGGATTTTAGAGGAACTTTAACACATTTGCACTAATGTTACTGCCTTCCTGTCATTGATTTTAATAGTTTGCTTACATTCATGATACTAGTCTTTTGTTATATATACATATTTTACTGTCCCCCTCCCCTCCGGTTATTTACTCTTTAATTTTATTTCCCATATTCTTTTCAACATTTAGACATTTTAAGTTTTCCTGTGATCAATTCTATTGATTCTTTTATAGTTTCTGCCTCTGGTCATGCCAAGAAAAGCCTTCCCCACCCTGGAGTCAGATCAGTTCTGATTCTCTACTATTTTCTAATGCTTCCTAAGGGTTCTGCTTTTCACATTTAAGCCGAGACCCATTTGGAATTTGTTTAGATATAGGCTCTAAGGCTAAATTTACATGGTAATTTTTTCCCCCAAATGATAAGCCAGTTTCCCATCACCTCTGGAACGACAGTCCACGTCACACACACCAGATTCTCATTTATTTATGTGAGTCTCTTTCTCGACCATCTAGCTTCTTCCATAGCTTTGCCCATCCTGTGCTGGTACCTCACCACTTCAGTTGCTGTAAATTTGTGACATGTTTAACATTTGATAGGACAAGTTCTGCTTCATTGCTCTTCTCCTTACTCTTCAGAGTTTTCTCAGGAGGTAACCTCCGTGATTTCCCTGGTCGCTCGCTGCTAGTGGAGAATGGATGTTGTTGGTACCTCGGGATGGTGATGAGGCTCTCCCTGCTAGGTCTTCCCCCGTATCACACACTACATCCTCCAGCCCAGAAACGACCCATTTCTTGCCTTGGGTCTGCTTTGCAATGAGTAATGAGGCCACTGGAGAGAGGAGCAGGTCTGCCGAGGACAGCCGTTTGGGGGATGGGGAACGGCACCTTGGACAATATGGCTAGAAGGTAAGGTTATTTAACCTCAAAAACGTGGTGGAGAACCAGCCTGATGAAGTTCAGGCTTTGGCATTAGACAGAAAAGGCAGACTGTTTAAAATACAAGATGGGGAAGGCCTTCCGCAGGGAGCAGAAAGCAGCCTAGAAGTCGCGTGTTGATGGGCTCAGCCGCGCAGTCGTGCCCACGTGGAACTGAACGAATGACCCTTGGCTGGAAAAGGGCGACGTGGCGCAGGACAGGCAGGAAGGGCCTCCTGCCTCTGCCGTGGGTCCGCTTCTCCAAGCTGGGGAGCACTTTGTTCTGCTCTTACTGGAGAGGGTGAGAGACCGGGCGGTGTTGAAAGGTTAGCCAAGAGATTAGAGCAGCTCGAATTACTAATCTTGGAGAAGAACAAACAGAGGAAAAAGTTAAAAGAGCTGAAGGAGGGTTCTCATACAGTACAAAGTAAACAGTTAATCTGGGCTGAAAACAGGAAACGTGTGATAAAAACCACTTACTTTACTGTGACAACAAAACGTCACGAATGCAAAGGGCATTTCTATGATAGCATGAAGGGCTGAGCGCAGAAATACTCAGATACTGGCACATTTGGTTAGTGGCCTGCACATCTAAGCTGTGTGACCCGCAGGGCAGAGTGGCAGCTGATGCATTTGCGCTGTGAATGTAACTCCCAGTTCGATGCTAGAACCCTGGTGTCAACCAGTCAGTATATTCTCCTCCTGGTGGAACATCTATTTGGGAAATCTGGTTGCTGGGAAGAGCAAGATAATGACAGAGAGCTGTGTGATGATGAAGGAGCTAGAAGTCTGATGTGGTCCCCCGCCAAGTAAGAACCTATTGCCAAGTTAACCACAATGCCCACAGCATCTGCCCTCCGTCAGTGCTGAGGCATGAGTTTCTTTTTAATTGTGGTAAAATAATACATAACATAAAATGTACCGTGTTAATCCTTTTTCAGTGCACAATTTATTGGCAGTCACTCACCATGTTGTAAACCGTCACCATGATCTATTTCTTAAATGTTTCCGTCACCCCAAAAGGATACTCTGTTGACCATTAAGCAATAACTCCCCATTCCTTATCTACCCCTCCTCAACCCTTGGCAACTCTGATCTACTTCTGTCTGTCTGGATTTGCCTGGTCTAGATATTTCATTTAAGCGGAATCATGCAATATTTATCCTTCTGCGTCCGGCGTATTTCCCTGAGCCTAATGTTTCTGGGATTCATCCACATGGGAGCATGTGTCGGAATGCACTCATCCCTTCTTAGTTTAAAACTTTCCTCTTGTTGAGGACCACTGTCTGCTTCGTCTGATCATACGCCTTTTCTTCTTTTCAACCTGTTTTCAGAGCCTCCTCTTCCGGAAGTAGACTTCTTCGCCGTGTGGGGTAGGGCTCTGCCACGCCTGAGGCTGCGGAGAGCCGAGGAGAAAAATGGACCTGTCAGGTCAGTAGTGGCTCCTTTTCCGTGGCTGCCGCTGAGCCCCCGGGGACGTTTGGGACACTTTGGTTTGAGTGAGGAGGCACCTTCTCTTCTTGGCTTTACTTGGAGCAATGCAATCAGGGCCCCCTTTTTTGTTTCCTTGGGTGCAGCCCTGGCCTTTGATTCCCACCAGCATCCTCCCTAATGAACAGAGAGACTTCTCAGGGGCCAGAGACAAGCATTTGGGCAGCTGAGGTCAGGAAGTAAAATCCATTCCTTTGGTCACTGGGCAAGCGCTGGTTGAGTGTCTGTGACGTGTTAGGCACTGTCCCTTTCACTCCGTCAGTGATGGTGGATCAGGGACATGGTTTACCAAAGGCAGAACAGAGTTTCCTTTATTTCAGGATGGGCGTGTGTGTAGTGGTTCCTACACATGAAAGGGTCACTTGGATAATTCTCTTGATTCATTCACGTGTTGAGATGTGGGCAAGACGCTGCATCGTTAGTGACTGCTTCTGGGAGTCCAGATAGTATTCGGATGGAATGAATGCCCTCAGTCGGTGGGCTCTGCTGTGTTTAATTACACTTTTTATTCACAAAGTTCATGATAGGATGAGGAAAGCAGAATTTTCCCTTTTTGGAGAGGAAGATGGAGGTTCTCCTGGGAGATGAGCACCTTACTGACAGGAGTAAGTCGAGGAGGTGGCAGTGACATGCTTCCTTGACCTAACCCCCACTGCCTTATGTCACCCCTGGTCCTCTGGCCTCATGACCCTACAGTGCAGTCAAGGTGGAACGTGAGATGTCACACAACTGTGAAAAACAGGGTCTAAGATACTATCTGTGTGTCCATTTGGGATGGAACTGAGGCTTTGCCTGCCTTTCTGTTAGTTTGAGTTCAGAAAATGCGCAAAGATCTTTCCAGGCGTGGCTGTGGCCTCGGTTGTTCTGTTTCTTGATTCCCGACAAGTCACTGGAAGGTATCGCACTTCTGTTGCTGTCAGGTGAACAGAAGTTGTGATACCACTGCCTGACAGAATTTGCAAGACAAACGTGCTGTTTAAGCCAGATGACTATGTAAGGTGGGGAGAAAAGGCAAATGGCAGTCTGCGCTTGTGGCTCTGTGCCTGCCGGTGCCTCCAAAACAGGAAGTGGAGACCCGTGAGTCATTCGAGGGAGGGTGGTGATTAGAAAGAGGGGAGGAGTCCTTCCAGAACAGTCCTGTTCTAAACTGCCACAATTGCTTCCTCAGCGTCATCAGGGCTGATCACCAGCAGGTGATTGGGGCGGTTTCCTTGGCGGACTGCGTGGTTGGCGCCGGGGGTAGCAGCTTTGCTGGTGTGTGACGGGCCTGCGTCAGCCTTGTGTGTTGCAGGTGCAGGGTGCGGGGCGAGCAGTGGTTTGGGGCACATGGCGGAGGAGGGGCACTGGGACCAAGTCCCCCCTCCTTAGCTTGGGGATCTGGGGTAGGTGATGCAGCCTGTGGCTGGGCTCTCCTAATGCTAGTGTCTCCACACTTGCCAGATCACAGGAATCACCTGGATGCTTTATCAGCAACATTCATTCTCAGACTCTCCTGGAGATTTTGATTCAGTAGGTCTGGGGTGGGGCCTGGGAACTTGTAAAATTATCAGGCAACTCAGGTGATTCTGATCCTACTAACTGGGGAGACCGCTCTATGCCTCACAAATGGAGCCTCTAACGGGCAACGTACAGAACCAAGTGAATGCAGGTGAGCCTTGACCTTGCACTTGAACACCACCACCTCCATGGAAAGACAGGAGGGACTTGAAGACGTGCTTGTGGACAGCGGGGAGCTACTGTGTGTTTACTTTCTTTCCAGCGGCCCTGATTCATAGGGATCTTCAAGTCCCCAGGAAAGTTCTTGTAGGTGTTCCCTTGGAGACTTAGCAAACATTTGCCACTGGTGGCAGTGGTAACTCAGTGCCCTTAACTTTGTCCCTTTTGTAGAAAGCCCTTTGCTGAAAATGAACCCCGAAACTCCGTGGAAGTCAGGGGCCTGAGAGCGCTTAGGAATTTTGGGAAATGGGTGGGTGGATACTTCCCAAATACGACACCTGCTATCAGGGAAGGCTAGTAACTTATGTGCCCTTAGGAAGCAGGAGATGGGGCATGAGGAGTGTGGAGCAGGAAGTGTATATTTATTGGTAAAACAGAATTATGTGAGCTAATGAGTTTTGGACATTACACTAATCATATTTAGTGCTGATACAATTTCAACTCAAGAAACGTTACTGGGGAGTCAGTCATAGCCAAAGAACTGTGCAGGGATTTGTAAGGATGTAAGAGTAAACCATTCAAATCCCTGTTACCAAGCCTGATAGAGAAAGCAGACATCCAAGCACTTACTCTACTAGAGGCAGGAGATAAGTTCCGAATAGGTGGGAATAAAAAGGAAGGCACGATTCATTCTCAGAGTGTTTTTATTCTTGCACTTCCTTTCACTGACAGATTTTCTATTTGGTGGGATAAGTAATACTACTAAAACACAGGACAGAGTGACACCTGATTGCTAGTGTGTTTCTTTGTCCACGTCTAGGGAGCATGTGAGATTTTCCCTTTCTGGCTGTGGCAGGATGTTGTCAGACTAGATGAACTCATGGTGACTCTGCACTCCGTGCTTCTCGTTCATTTCACAGGAACTTTGGGATCAGTGCGTGAACTGTAGGGAATGTAAATCACATGAGTTCCATTTTAGGTCCCCCCATGTGATTGTGTGGAGCCTTTTTGCCGACTTAGTGCATTAACTCTTGTAGGCAGTTGGCCTCCATGTGACTGTTAAATCCTTTCCCCAGCTGGGTTTTATTTGCCCACGTGAAAAATCACCGATTAGATCAACTTTATGACACATACACTCAGGGCAGCGATACGTGCAACAGCGTCTCCCAGCTAAGGAGGACTGACTGGGCATCCATCCGCAGCCAGAACTTAGGAGATCCCTCATCCGGTGTCATCTGGCATTAACCGGAGTTCCGTGACTGTTGGAGCTGTCAGACCGTCAATCCCACGTGGGCAAAGACTTCGTCTTACCCAGCACTGTATCTCCAGTGCCTCAAAAAGTGTTAATCTCATAGCAGGTGCTCAATACGTATGAATAAATGAATGAGTGAATCCCCCCAGCTAAGGTCTGATAGACATTTTCTTTTTTCTCCCAGTTCATATCAGGTGTTGGTGCTCCCCCTGGCCCTCCACAGCACATTTGCGTGCGATTCTGAAGACGCTACCTCATTCTTTAGCAATACTTCTGATGTTAATGGATACGTGGCTGCAGAACTACTGGCCAAAGATGTTCCCGATGATGCCACGGAGATATCTATCGGAGACAGGCTGTACTATGGGAAATATTATAACGCACCCTTGAAAACAGGGAATGATTACTGCATTGTATTACGAATCACAAGTGAATGGGATAAGGTATATTTCTTTAACAACACTGGTGAATTCTATATTTTCCTCTTCTTGTGAAATTTAAGTATTTGAACATCCGTTCCCCCAATATTTGAGATGAACACTGCATGTAAGAACCCAAAAAATGTGTTGAATACTTTCACTTTTTAAAGGATGACAGGTGACATCTTTATGGAGGTTGATATTGTTAACTTCCTGGGGGACCTGTTTGGCTCTGTGTTTGGACTGGACTAGGTTTGGTTCTTCTTCTTAAGCTTCACAAACGCCCTCCTCCTATTGCGCTGCTGAAGCCTGAGTTGGAGAGGAAGGACTTGATCTTTCTGCGGCTTCCCTGTACTCTGTCCTAGGCAGCTGCCTCCCCTCATTTTCCCAGAAGCAAGAGGGAGGGGCAGATTAAGCTCAGCACTATTTTCTGGCCCCATTTTCTGCTTCCATTACTTCCTTGGCTATCATGTAAGTCCCAGTCTCCTCTCCTTGCCCGTGGAAAGACAATGTTCTTGCAGCGGTGGTTCTTTCTTGAGACGTAGAATTCTATTCATTACATAAGGAGCAAATGTAATGAGCTGGACAGGCAGAAGAGCAAGGGCTGGATCAGTCGACCAGGGATGGGAGATATTCTGAAGAACCATTGTGATGGTTGCCCTGGGAGAACTCAAAGCTTGTTGTAAGTTCATACTGGTTGGTAATGGAAAGGAGAAAGATTGTATTAATATTAAGAGAAACATCTCTTGGTGGATTTGAGCCATCTTGCATGTAAGATTCATCACATACTTAAAACCGAAACAAGCTATTAAATTCTGTATAGGGCACAAGTCTAATGTGGGATTATCACACTTGATATGAAACCAAGAATAGATCCGACCAGCAAAAAGGTCTGGTGGTGTTTTGTAACAATAATGTGAGAATTAAAAACTGAAAGACCAAAGTCCAGAAGATACTGCCCTGAACTTGTTCCAAAGGTGTTTATGGCTTAGACAAGGCCTTCTTGCTAGAAAATTAGGTGGAGATCCTGACTTGGTGTTCCCAGCACTGGGAGTACAACGTGAGTACCATTAGAGGTTGTGCAGAGAGCAGCTCTCTCAGACTGGGACTTTGATCTGGGAGGGTGTGTTGGTCAGCTTGGGCTGCCATTTCACAATGCTGTAGACTCGGCGGCTTAAACAACAGACATTGATTTCTCACAGTTCTGGAGACTGAGAAGTCCGAGGTTAAGGTGCAGGCTGATTTGGTTCCCCGGTGAGGGCCTGATTCCTGGCTTGCAGACAGCTACCTTCTTGCTGTGTCCTCTGCTGGTGGGGAGTGAGTGAGTTCTGATCACTCTTCCTCATGTTATGTGGACCCTGTTGCATGGGGGCCCTACCCTCATGACCTCATCTAAACCTAATTACCTTCCCAAGGCCCTCCCTCCAAATACCATCACACAGGAGTAGGGCTTCAGGGTACATATGAGTCCATAACACAGGGAATGAGGTGGGAGGTTATGATAAGAATTCTAGTTTGCAGTGTTGTAGAAAAACATGTTACAGCCCAGTGTTACAGCTTGGTGTTACAGCTCAGTTGTGACAGCAACCTGGATCTGGGCGAGAGACCAGGCAGCACTCGGAGAGTTGGAGAACTCAGGTTTATTATGCCATTGGACCCAGAAGAGTTAATACTCCAAGCTCTGGACCCTGTCTGTAGGTTTACACAGGCTTTTATAGGCTGCCAGTTTACACTTTGCAACATCATATGCAAATAAGGTATAACAAAAGTTGACTAATTAGGAACAAGCTTTGTAGAAATGGACCAATCAGGAGTGAGAGAAATAACCAATCAGGAGTGAGGGAAATGGGCCAATCAGGAGTGAAAGAAAGAACCAATCAGGAGTGAGCTCCATGCAAATGAAGTACTACAAATGGACCAATCAGGAGTAAAGGAAATAACCAATCAGGAGTGAGCTCAGGGAACCAGTAGAATTTTAGGGGTAAGTTCCACTTTAAGTTTTAGAGGCAAAAAGTGAGATAGAGCTGCTGGGCCAGGGAACTGTATGGTGGTGGCAGGAGAGTAGTGGCCCTGCCTGGGGGTCCTGCTGGTCTTTTTTTACGGGGCTTCCCACCTCAGTAGGAAACTTCCCATGATGTCACTATACCTCTTTTTCATACAGTGAAGCAGAACATAGTTTCTGGTGTACAGCATAGTGATTCAGTTATACATCTATGTATTCTTTTTCATATTTTTCATTATAGATTATTACAAGATATTGAATATAGTTCCCTGTGCTATACAGTCGGACCTTGTTGTTTCTCTGTTTTATGTATAGTAGTTTGCATCTGCTAATGCCAAACTCCTAATTTATCCCTCCCTCCACTTTTCCCCTTCAATAACCGTAAATTTGTTAAGCTTATTCTTTGAAAAAATTTATATTTGGGCTCACCTGTTTGAATTGCTGTTACTTCCCCTGTGGGTTTCAAATACGTTAGTGTTGCAGTCATATTAAAATCAGTTGTGATTTATATATTTATGTATTTTCTTTTGTAAACAGCTTCATCGAGATACAGTTCACCTACTGTATAATTCTAAAACGTACAAGTCAATGGTTTTTAGTATATTCATGAGATGGTGGCAATGCAACCGTCTAATTCTTCAACATTTAGTAGTGATTATTTTTTATATTTATTTTTAGTTGTGGTAAAATACATGTAACATAAAATTTACCATCTTAGGAACTGTTTAACAGTTTAGTAGGGTTGAGTACATTTACGTTGTTATGAAACCAATCTGCAGAATTTTTCATCTTGCAAGATTGAAACTGTACCTGTTAAAAAACTCCCCATTCCTCCTTCCCCTCCCCAGATCCTGGCAACTGCCCCTTTACTTTCTGTCTCTATGAACTTGACTACTTTAGATACCTCATATAAGTTGGATCATACAGTATTTATCTTTTTGTGATTGTCTTATTTCATTAAGCATAATGTCCTCAAGATTCCTTCATGTTGTAGCAGGTGTCAGGATTTCCTTTCTTTTTAAGGCTGAATAATATTCCATTGTGTGTGTGTGTGTGTGTGTGTGTGTGTGTATACACATGGCATTTTGTTTATCCATTCATCTGTGGGTGGACACTTGGGTTGCCTCCATCTTTTGGCTATTGCAAATAATGCTGCTATGAACATGGGTATTCAAATATCTTTTTGAATCTCTGCTTTCAATTTTTGGGGGTATATACACCCAGCAGTGGAATTTTTAGATTGTTTGGTAATTTTATTTCTAATTTTTTTGAAGAATCCTCATACTATTTTCCATAGCAACTGCACCATGTTACACTCCTACCAACAGTGCACAAGTGTTCCAGTTTCTCCACATCCTCCCCAGTCCTTGCTGTTTTCTGTTTTGATGACGGCCATCCTGGTGGACGTCAGGTGGTTCCTCACTGTGGCTTTGGTTTGCATTTCCCTAATGATTTATGATGTTGAGCATGTTTTCAGGTGCTTTTAATACTTTGTCTGTCTTCTTTGGCGAAATGGTTACCCAAGTCCTTTGCCCATTTTTAAACTGATTTATTTCTTTGTTGATGAGTTCTAAGAGTTCTTTATAAATTCTGGATATTAATCCTTTATGAAATATGCGATTTACAAGTATTTTTCCCATTACATGAGTTGCCTTTTTATTCTGTTGAGAGTGTCCTTTGATACAGAAAAGTTCTTAATTTTTTTTGAATCACATTTCTTTCTTTTTTTATTGAAGTGTAGTTGATTTACAATGTTGTGTTAAGAGTCAGATGTATAGCAAAGTGATTCAGATTGTATATATAATTTTTCAGGTTCTTTTCCATTATAGATTTTTATAAGATATTGAATATAATTCCCTGTGTTATGCAGCAGGTCCTTGTTGTTTATTTTTTTCTTCTTCCCCATCCCTGCCCCCACTTATCTATTTTATATATAGTAGTGTGTATATGTTAATCCCAGACTTCTAATTTATCCCACCCCCTTACCCCCCTGGTAACCATAAGTTTGTTTTCTATGCTTGTGAGTCTATTTCTGTTTTGTATGTGACTTCATTTGTGTCATTTTTTGGGATTCCACAGTGATATTATATGATGTTTGTCTTTGTCTCACTTCACTTAATATGATCATCTCTAGGTCCATCCATGTTGCTGCAAATGGCATTATTTCATTCTTTTTTGTGGCTGAGTAATATTCTAATATATATGTATGTATATCACATCTTCTTCATTCATCTGTCAATGGACTTTAGGTTGTTTCCATGTTTTGGCTATTGTAAACAGTGCTGCTATGAAAAGTTTTTAACTTTAATGAAATCCAGTTTGTCTATTTTTTCTTTCATTGCCTGTGCTAAGAAGTCATTGCCAAATGGAATTTCCTGAAGCTTTTCCTTTATGTTTTCTTCTGAGAGTTTTAGGTCTTATATTTAGATTTGATCCATTATGAGTTAATTTTTGTATATAGTGTTAGGTAAGGGCCCCATGTGATTCTTTTGCTTATAGTTATCCAGTTTTCCCAGCACAATTTGTTGAAAAGATTTCCTTTCCCCATTGAACGGTTTACGCACTCTTGTCAAAAGTAATTTTTAAGCAACCATCTGATAAATATGCCAGAGTTTATTTCTGGGCTCTCTGTTCTGTTCCATGGGTATATGTGTCTGTCTTTATGCCAGGACTACCCTGTTTTGATTACTGGAGCTTTGTGGTAAAATTGGAAATCAGAAAGTACGTTTTCCAATTCCCGCTTCTTGTTTTTCCTTCTGAGTATCTGTCCCAGTAAACAGCATTACCATCTTCCCAGTTGCCAAGAAAGAAATCTAGGAATAATTTTTGTCTCCTCCCTTCTTCTTGTGTAGTCCATCATCAAATTGTGTCAATCCTGTCACTTTCATGCTGTTTAAAAATCATCCTTTTCTCTCCTTCATCAGCACTGTTTTTAGCCTTTGACATCTCTTATCTGAGCTTCCGTTTTCTGACTCATCTTCTTGTCTCTGTTCTACCTGTCTCCTTCCTATCTCTGGCCTCCATCCTACTGCCCGAATGAGTTTTATAGAATCTACATCTGATCAAGGCACTCCATTTGAATGAGCTCCCTTCTTCATCTGGCCCTGCCAATTTCTCCCTTTTAGTACACTCCGTTCCTTAGTAACTTGCTGTTTGAGGTCCTTTTCCTCCCCCAGTGTCTTGAAATACACCCCTCACTGGTTCTTCTTGCATGTTGTCTCCCACTGGATGCACTTGATAACACTAAGCATCAAGGCGAAATTCAGTCGCATTCAGGACCTTATGGCCATTCTAAGCCTTTCCCAGAATTTCCAGTATGAATATAGGTTTTCAGTTTTTAATAAAATAAACCCAAAGTGCTCAAGGCTGTCACTTGAAGGAGAGTCTCCTAATGAAGTTGGTGGGGTCTTTCTCTGACCCTTGCTGTTTACTTTCCTCTGGGGAATGCTTTGCTGAGTTTTACCGTAGATTAACAGTGATCCCAGCATCCCTAAACTAATACACATGTAATAACAGCAGGGGAGAGAAAGAGAAGATGTGTAATTCCAGTGGGTTTGTGGGTTGCTTCTGTCATGAGTGAGCTTTCATATATATTCTTTTTGCTTTCTTCTGGTTCTTGGCTACATTTGGGTAAATATCATCAAGGCAAGTGAAGTATTCATATATGCCAGACCTTCTCGTAGCCTTGCCCGTAACGTGCATCACTGCTTCTTGCTGAACCTGGATGTGACCTCAGAATCCTTCCCGACATAGTTCTCCAGGCAGTCAGTGCCAGGTGCTGAGAGCTGGCAAGGGGAGTGGAATGTATCGCCATTCCTGCGCTTTCCCCGCAGTGAGTGCAGCCTGAGATCTATTGGAAAGCTTTAGAAGTGATCCTAGGGTCACTTCTGTCCCTGCTACCCGTGCCAGTCCCCTGAACACGTGGTGATCATATGGCCAAACTGTAAGATGTTAGAGCTAGAAGAGACTTTTAAGGAACTTGTGGTCCAAAATAAAAGATAAAAGCCCTGCGACTTGGGGGGCTAACGTGTGTTATTTGAACTGACACCACATGCCACCTACTCACACGTGTTGCTGTGGCTTCCTTTACAGGTGAAAAGAAGCTCCTGTGCACTCTGGGCCCGGGTAAAAGGTAAAACTGTTTTCTGCCTAAGACTGCTTTCCTTGTTTCTCCTCTGTCCAACTGCAGCGTCAAGTGTATGTTAATGAGATTTCTTTTTAAATTGTCACAGGTGACAGAAATGAATCTCATACTAGCCTAGAGAAAGCCATAGCTGAAAAGGATGAGGGGTGGGGTGGTGGGAGCAGCTCATGGAATCAGAACCAGAGTGGTGCCACCAGGACTCCAGGAACTGGGCCTTGGGACTCGACACCATGAGGAGGACTCTCCTTTTGTGGCTCTTGTCTCTCGTCTCTGTTTCTCGGTGTGAGTTGGCCTCCTTTTCTCCAACTGTAAGCTGTGTGGTGGGGAGGGATGGGCATGAGCTGCCCCAGCTTAGCAACTTCGGTGGGAACAGACAGTTTTTCAATTTGGGAAAAGAGTCTCTTGTTTTAAGTGACCGTTGGATGAATCACTGTGTGTAGGAGATGGAGCAGTATGATCGCCTACCTTGGGTTTGGGGCTCATTGCTATGGCTTGGGCGGGGGTGGGGTGCAGGTCAAAATAACCAGCAAACCCCACCAGGGTTGCGCGGAGAGGGGTTCACGGTCCCCGTCAGGAGAAGAGGCTCAGAAGAACACACTGACAGACCCAAACAAAGAGCTACAGAAGTCCACTCCTTTCCGCGGTTTGGCTGCTTAGCCTGTGCACACACATACATGTCCAATAGTAAGTAAAACACCCTCCTTGATGAAAGTGGAATTATCTTCCAGAGAGCCAAAAATGGCACCCGAGTGGAAGACAGCCCAAAGGTGGGTCCTGTTACCGAATCCAGCTCCAAGACCAGGCTTTTGGGGGCCGATCCATTCCTCTTGGTGGAATCTAGACGTGTTTCTCATGATCTCTTTAGCCGTCTATGGCTAAGTGGAAAATTCAGCCATTCTCAAAGCCACAGCATATAATATGAAATGGGAAAGTGGACCATCACAGTAAGTCCACTGATTTGGAAAGGAAGAAAAGATAAAGGACTGTGCAGTGGTCAGGGGCCCCATAACAAGGACCACATGCAGGAAGAGCAGGCATCTCCTGCCCCAGCAGCAGAACGGGTCACTTGGTCAGTCGGTTTGGCTGCCCGGGGCTCTGCCTGCTGGGGTACCCGTGTCCATTTCCTCCAGAACCTCCCGTAAGAGATGAGGTGAGGACGAACTCCGCTGAGTGCCTCACAGCTTAAACCTTCTGCCTCCCCTGCACGGGCGGTTATCCGGAAAGGGGAGTGGGGTTAGGGACTGAGCAATCGCAGGTCCTTGTTTGCCAGGCTGGGATTTCCCTGGCAGAATGTTTCTTTAAACCAGCAGCCAGCCTACTGGATTTGATTTGTAGGAATTCCATTAGTTTGTAGCTAATACCAGAAATCTTGTCAAGTGTATGACCTTTTGGATCTGGACCTTTTCCTTGTGGTTCATGCGTCCTAGCAACAGCCTGAGGAATTCTGCTCTTAGCCCGGAGGCTCAGGTTAACTCCTCACATCCTGTCCCTTACCTCAGAGCAGCGCATAACAATGGGCTGGGGTGGTGAGGAAGAGCTCACATAACCCTGCTTCCAGGTGGATTCCAGGGCATGGCAGCTTGCAATTGATTTGTTACCCTGTCAGGAGAGGGTACCTAGCAGGAAATGTTTGGAGGGACCTGGAGAACTGGGCTTCCTTCATCTGTCTGCTTATCCCCTAAACTCATTTCCCATCTTTTTATCTCTACTCACACCAAGTTCAGCATTGTAGGGGGCGTGGCTTTTCACCTGGGCAAGTTGTAGTACCTGACCGTCCGCCGTCTTGCAGTGCAGATTGCCAGGCAGTGAGCGCCTCTTCTTTCTTTTTCAGTTTTCTTGAGAAAATAATTTACATATCATGTTTAACGTGTACAGTATGATAATTTGATACGTATATATATTGCAAAATGATTACCACAATAGGGTTAGTTAATACCTCCATCACCTCACATAATTACCATGTATTTTATGTATCTATGTGTATATAAAATTTGTGCATGTGTGAGTGTGTAAGATCTACTCTCCTCACAGCTTTCAAGTATACAATACAGTATTGTTAACCAGAGTCACCATGCCGTGCATTAGACCCCCGGCATGTATTTATCTTGTATCCAGAAGTTTGTCCCCTGTGACCAGCATCTCCCCGCTTCCCCCACCCCCCAGCCCCTGGCAACCACCATTCTACTCTCAATTTCTATGGGTTCAGCTTTTTCAGATTCCACACGTAAGTGAGATCACACATACTTGTCTGACTCTGACTTATTTGACTTCGCATAATATGTGAGAGCCTCTCTTAACAAAGATGTGTGCTGTTACATTTCTGTGTGCAGACGGGCTGAGCGCCCTTCCCTGGAATTTAATGACGGCCACAAGAAACAATCACACATTCCGCCATTTGGACATTTTCCTGCCAGTTCAGATCCTAAAGCTCTCAGGGTGGGACCGGAGTTTCCACAAGCAAAAAAAGATGCTTTTACCAGAAGAATGGAGGTGTACGAGCATCCTGGACCGGCATAGGAACAATAGTTTCCAGAATAATCCACTGCTTTCTGCAGCTGTTCGGTGTGATTAATAAACTCACACTGAGTTGAAGAAATGGCCAAAGAGCTGGCTGCAGTCATTCTATTGTGATTAAGTTAACAGGAAGGATTTTGCTTTGGGACTATCCAAGTGGCTTTTGGCAGTGCCTTTTCCCTCTCATATGGTAAGAGAATTTGAACCTTTGAGCTCAAGCTACTGGAAAGCTCTGAGATCATAGAAAACCTACTGTTATGTTGAAATTCTGGAGCCAGTTCCAGCATATACACATTTGTGTACCAAATTTACCTGGGCTGTGCACTCACCTGGCAGTCTCCTTTTGCAAAAATTTTGGAGACTGCCATTTCAGAAAGTAATTTGGACAGAACTAGAATCCAAATTCATCCTGAAATTGTTCCCGTTCACTCGTGCCAAACAACAGCCCCCTTGTTGCCATTGCCCGCTGATAAATTATGCTGTTTACCTTTGCAGATTGCCCCTAAAAGAGCTTCGTGGTGATTACCAGGGAACCAGCAGTCAGTTTGACAAGAAATGCAAAGGCCTGGGCTTCCCTGCCCCAGTCCTACTCATAGTCAGCCGAATGTCTTTGAAATTATATTTAACTTGGCTGGTTCTCTATTGTCTCCCTCCGGGATCTCTGAGAGCCCTTCCAGCCACAAAGTAGTAGGAGTCTCTGCTTTCTTGAGTCACAGGGCAAGGTCATTTGATACATGTGAGATGATGATTAAACTGTAATCAGGGAACATTCTTTAGTCATAGGCATGAAACCTCTGAGTCATTAGTGACTACTGCTCTTTCTCTTAGCCCACATTTTGCACTTCTCTGATTTTCATTTCTGTATTCACTCCCTGAGCAGGGGCCGTTGTGTGTGCAGCACGGAAGACGGGCCCAGCCTCCTTTCTCATCTCGCACCATAGGGTTCAGATTCAGCGTCCCCCTTCACCCCAGCCTGCACTACCGCCCGGCGTTTTTCTAAAGTGCAGCGCTGATTTTATGACTTCCCCTGACGGCGCCTGCATAGTTCTCCAACAGTTCTCAGTCTGGTTTCCAAGACCTCAGGTGGCCACCAATGTCCTCTTCTCCATTCAAACTGACGTGCCAGCTCTGTTCTGGATACGGCCCTTGCTTTCCCTCCTTAATGTCTTTGCTCATACGATTACTTGCTCACTTCCCCCCGGATTGCCCTGTAACCTTCCTGTAATTTCTGTTTATTACAGTCCCTCCCGTTCTTCAAGATTAAAATCAAATGCCGTCTCCTCTTTGACACTTTTTACAACTTCCTCAACCGGACAGAATCTCTCCCCCTCTCTCTTTAGCCATCCTGCTGTAATTGCAAGCAGCTGGTGCACTTGTCTCTTCTTACTTGATTTCGTCCCCTTGAGGGAGGGCATTTGAAGAGCTGCATGGTGCCTGGCACACATGAGACGCCTAATGAGGATTTATTGAATCGGGCTGAATGATTCCCGGGGAACCAGCAGGACAGTCTGATTGTAAAAGGAAGCATAGTAGGAGCAATACTTATCAAATTAAAAAGCCAGAGAAGACTGACATCAAGATATAAGCCTGGTGTGTATGTATACGTATGAATACGCTGCACCTGTGTTTGTGTACACACGTACACATGCACCCATTTTAAACCTTCGTCATTGTAGTAGGTAGAATTCTCATACGACCTCACAAATTCCTGGTCCCTGGGGTACACCCACCTTCTCTCCGTTACTCATTCAAAAGCTCTTCTAAGTGTTGCTGTGAAAGGATTTGAAGATGTAATTAAGGTCCCAAATAGAGAGATTATCCAGATAGACCTGACCTAATGACTACATGAACCCTTTAAATCTGTGTCTAGAGGTCACAGACCGGGGAAACTGGAGACTGAAAGGGAGAGATGGATTTGGCATAAGGGTTTCTCCTGCTGGCTTTGAAGATGCAGGGGACCACACGGCAGGAATGTGGGCAGCCCGTAGGAGCTGAGTGGCCAGTAAGAATATGGGACCCTCAGTCTTACAACGACAAGGAGCTGAATTTAGCCCATAACCTGCATGAGCTTGGAAGCAGATTCTTCCCCGGGGCCCCTAGAGGGAAATGCAGCCCACCTGCCTTGACCGTAGCCTTGTAAGACCCTGAGCGGAGGACTCAGTCACAATGTGCCTGAACTTCTGACCCATGAAACTGTGAGCTAATAAATGGGTGGTAGCTGCCAAGTGTATGGTAATTTGTTCAGCTGCCACTGAAGATGAATTCAGTAATGTTGCTGGTTCATGAGCCTTTACTTACCTCCAAATTAGCTATCTACTTCAGTCTCCTTTGCCATCTCCTGCTTGCAGGGGGTTCAAGTGAGGGGACCCCAGAATAGCAGAGATGAATTTCACACACTAAATAGAAGTCACAGTGCTAATTATTATCATACATTTGTGCCTTTCCAACAACCGAATTGTTGCTTTCAGGAAATGACCCTGCTGGTGTAAATCCATGAAAAACTGTCCACAGCCCTATAGGAAGTCCTCAAGCTGTCACGAAGTCTGAGAGTAGGAACAGGGCCTTTCTAACCGGCTCTTCAACACCTGTGATGTTTACGGTAGTCTAAGGGTTAGAGATAAGCCCGTGGAAGCCCTGTCACTCCTCCTGAGCCACCCTGCGGAGATTGGTGGAGTTTGAGCCTAATGGATTTCCTCGCTTTCGAATGAGTCATTGAGAATCTGGGGTGTAACTCGTGATTCACTCATTTGGGTTTTTAAAAGAACATTCTGCAAGTGATTTAGAAGGAAAATAAGTTTGGTTTCATGGCAGGAGACCTTGGAAGGGAGGGTAACCAGAGGATGACAAAGCTCTAAAAAATGTAATTCACGTTGGCCAGTTGTAAGTTTCCTTGGTAAAGAATTAACATGGGAAGTCCCTAAAGAAGCCTGGGGCTACACCGTGAGCGCTCAGGATTAGGTTGACTCAGATGTTCAAGAGAGTTCATATACAAAGCAGAAAAAAGACGTATAACCAGGAACTGTTCAACCAGCAAGAATCATGCCTGGAGCTACAGCCCGAGTCATGTTATGCAGAGTGAATAAGGGTGATTTCCCAGTACTTACCTTTAGAGTAGAACATAGGTGGGCTCCCTGCTAAGGGTGAAGGTCGTCCTGCTGCTGGATGGTCAGGAGAACGTCAGGTTCCTCAGCTCCTACTTTGCTGCTTTCCTGTGGTTTGTGAGGAGGGGGTATTTGAAAGCAAAAGAACAGCTAACCTGCTCTCTGTAAGTTAAAGTCTTCTGACTTGGATGAAGCACCTTCTAGCAGGTTGTTACAACTTGCAAAGGAGATGGAGAAACCACTGCAAGTGATCTTTGAGAAATCTTAATGAAGAAGGGAAAAATAAGTAGACTGGGGGTGAACAAAGAACATAGAACTCTGTATAAGGGAGACAGATTTTGCAAAGTATGGCTGAGGAAGACTTGAAGTCAAAGCCAGGCAAGATCTTCAAGAGACGGTTCTGTGTCTATCTGGGAGAAGAAGCCACGGTTCCCAGCAGTCAGTCTGGGACCTATGAGCAGATTAGGTGAGACTGCTCTTCTCTCTTCTAGCACAGAATCACTAATTGGATGGGGAAATGTGGTAGGTACAATGTATTTTGATTTCAGCCAACACTTGACAATGCCCTGTGGACAGTGTGGGGACGTGAGGGCTGTGTGTGAGCTTAGAAATGGCAGAATGACTATGCAAGTGTTGCTTATTAATGAGTTGATGTCGAATCCAGGAATATGCAGAATATGGGTCGGTGTCTACAGTCATCCTTAGCCCACCATCGTCATCAATCAGTGATTCGAAATATAGAGAGGACAAAACTATAGAGAAAACGTGGATGACCAGCGTTGGGAGGAACACTGGGTAGACTGGATGAAATGAGCAATATAGGAAAGTACCAGCTTCTTGCCACCATTTCCAATGCTCTATTTTCTCTTTAAAAAAAACCCCATAAAAACCTGGGGAATTTAGTACATAAAAACGTCTTCTCAGTATTTTAATTTGCATTTTTGCTTGTGAGAGGGAGAGCTGATCAAAGATTTGTCAGTCGTCTGTATTCAGGTTTCATATGTGGTTTACCTTTCGATAGAATTTGCTCCTTTTGCTATTGAGGTATTTGTCTTTTCCTTATTCATTTGTAACACTCTCTGTATGTTAACCCCTTGCTTATTAATTATTCTCATTATTTTACCCAGTTTTCCACTTGCCCTTTAAACTTACTTATGGTGGTTTTTGGTTTACAGAAGTGTATGTTTTTTAATGTGGTCAGATCTCTCATTCTCTTATTTTAAGGTTTCCATATTAATAAATGTGCTTAGAAAAATTTTACCTGCTTTAGTACTAAATATATAGTCACTTACATTTTGTCCCAATTCTGTAAGTCTTCAGCTTAAGTCTTTAATCCATCCAGATTTTATTTTGGTAGAGGGTATAAGCTCTAGTGGTCAAAATTACTTTATCCTAAATGGTTAGCCAATTTTCTCAACGTTAGTTAAGAATAAGGTATCATTTCCCCAGTGATTGGGGAATGACAATGACAAACAAAATGACAGCAATAATAATTAACAATAGCTAACATTTGCCAATTGCTTACTGTGTGCTAGGCCCAGGTCTGACATGTCTTAACTCATCTGTTTCTCCCAGTAACCTAATAAGGTGGGTACTATCATTATGATTCCTGTGCTGTTACATTATCCCTCTTGTGAGGAGACCGAGGCACAGAATGGCAGAGTAACTTGCGCAAAGTCACACAGCTGGGGAGTGGTGGTGTTCACATGCCAACCTGGACAGCCTGACTCCAGTATTCAAGCTCGGAAGTTATGTTAGTGCTTGGGTTTGTTTCTGGGCTTTCTACGTTGTTCCAGTGCTGATACTGCACTGTTTTAATATCTGGTAATTCAAGTCAGTAATCAGTCCTCTAATGTATGTATGTATGTATTTATTTATTTACTTACTTACTAATTTCTAATTTAACCACAGCTCCTCCTCCCATTTTCCAATAAGGCTTCTTAAAATATCAGGGCTTTTTTTCTTCTGAATATCAAAAGTAGCCAAAATATAAGCCGCATTTTTCGAGAAAGCCTCTCTCTCTCTTTTTTTTTTTTGGAGAAAGTCTCTTGACAACACTTTCTAAGGTGATGGTTTGTTGGGCTCTTGACCAAGCGGTATGTTCCAGTAGAAAGAGTCCCCTCTTAGCCTGGTTGTCGAGATCCAAGTGATGCCAGTCGGCAGAACTGTCTGCAGTGGTACAAAGACGTTAAAGCCGTGTTGTCCAGTGTGGTGGCCACTCACCGCGTGTGGCTACTGGGCACTTGAAATTTACATGTGCAATTGAGCACTTACAATAGTATGACTGAGAAACTGAATCTTAAATTTAATTTAAATTAATTTAGGTTTAGACAGCCACATTGTGGTGTGGCTGCTGTGTTTGACAGCACAGAATTAATGATGAAGAAAGAAAGCAGCTTGAACTGTTCTCAAATGTGCCTCATTCACTGCCAGGGAAGTAAGTCACCTATGTTTTGAGGGTCTCAAGTCCAGAGGCTACTGTTTTTCCTCTCAAATCCCCCTCCCCTTCTTACAGTAACAGATCATTGCTTTTGGTGTAATCAGCTCTTCCAAGGCAGACTAAGCATATACCTGGGGCACTGGTAAAAGGAGCATACAGAAAAATGAAATCGTCAACCCTCTGTATCTGTGGGTTCCACATTCATGGATTCAACCAACCGTGGATTCAAAATATTTGGGAAAAAATCATTAAAAAAATCCAAAAAGCAAAACTTGAATTTACTGTACACTGGCAACTGTTTACATAGCACTTACATTGTATTAGGTATTAGAAGTAATCTAGTGATGACAAAGTATACAGTAAGTTATATGCAGCTACCACACTACTTTATCTATGGGACTTGCGCATCTGAGGATTTTGGTATCCGAGTGGGGGTGGTGGTGCCTGGAACCAATACCCCGTGGATACTGAGGCCTGACGACAATTTGATATTCCAACAATGACAACTGCAACAAATCGTCTGGAAAAATTTGGAATTGATTGCACTTCCTTCAATTTATTCCATGGCTTGGTGGTTTTAAAATTTTTAATTCTATACATGCAGAGTCAGCCCCCTGGAATCTTTTCAGTGTCTGTTGGCAGCATTGTACACAGACTTTTGTTCTTCCAAAGGGGATCATGAATCACCACAGCCTGAGGCCCTATCATCAACCTGTGCAGGAAAGATCTGGGCCTGTACGCCTCACTTCTGGGGGAGAACATGGCCCCCACTCTGCTGCAGACAGAGCTGGATTCAGATCTGTGCTGGGAAAGCATGTGCTGTGGTCAAAAGCAAAGACCCTGGAGTTAGACAGCTTGGGTTTGAATCCTGGCTCTGGCATTTACTAGCTGGCTCAACTTGGGCAGGTTTCTTAACCACTCCATGCTTCGATTCCTCATCTGTAAAATGGGAATAATAATAGTACCCAGTGTACTGTTATTACACTGGGTGCTATTATTATAATACTTGTTGCTATTATTATTGTACCCACTGAGGGACGAGAAGAGGTAATTAGATAGTAAGTGTGAAGTAAGTGTGTGTAAATTAAAATGAAACCTTTAGTTTAGAACAGGATGCTCTGATTTAGTTGGCCCCAATGTGCAGCTCAAATGTAGGTGTTTTTCAGTTAATAACCAGGGATCTCCCTGACGTTGGCATGTGATGCACCCCAAGATAGAACACATGTATGTCTTTCAAAGAGCTTTTCCATCAATTTTCTTATTTTATCCTCACAGCAACCTGCTGAGCAGAGCAGGGAGGTACCACTCTTGCTGATGTCTAGGGAAAATGACAGGTGACTCTACCCAACAGAGAGGATTTGTGTGCTGTATCTGACCACTGGAGCTAGCTGTAATTTTTGGAGCAAAAGTCCAAATGATGTCAGGACGACGTCTTCCTCCATGCAAAGGAAAACTGCTCATAAAATTCTATCAGGGTTATGGACTAGGGAGAGGACAGGATGCTGTATTTGTGTGCTCAACAGGATCAGATTCATCCCTTGTAATTTGAATGTGTCCTGGTTTATGCTTCCTTTTCAGAAATGCCATGGAACTGTGTTTTCCTGAGGCCCAGTTCTCAGGGCCAACTCAGGGGGCACAGAGGCACTCTGGGCATTCTTGGGATGGTTTGTCAGACGGGGCCAAGCTCTGGTTAAAACGGAGTGAGCACAGCGGGGTGTGCGCCGTGGGTTCAGTGTGTGGTTTCGTCCCGCAGGTTCATCGCTCGTGCTGCCGCAGATGGTGGGTGTTGCGCTGTGCTCCATGGCTGCTGTGATTGTCCTCGCATTCCTCTCCTTCTCAGCGGCCTGGTATGTGAGACTGTCACTTTGGAGAAATGAGTGGAATGGAGAGAGGATGGAGCTGAAGTCATGAAGAACAGCTGGGTTGGAGGCAGGTCAAAGAGGGGGCATGGGGAGATGTTGTCCCCGGGGCGCAGCGGATACTCAGCAGGGGAGAGGCAGGAGTAACTGCACCTCAGCAGGGGGAGGGGGGTGCCCTCCAGCTCCAGGAAAAGCAGGGTCAGTGGTGGCTGGTTCCGTAAGCGTGCATGAGCTGCACACAGGTGCACCACAGAAAACCAATGTGTCAGTGAACCCTCTTTCCTCCTCCATGTCTAGACTGCAGGTGGGTGCTACGTGAAAGGGACGCGCTGCTGCTGGCGCAGATGTTATGACAGCTTCTCAGGTGCTTTCACCGAGGCCTCTGAGTGTGGGCCTGCAACTTTCTCCATTCCCAGGTTGGCCCCCTTCCTGTACTCAAGACACTGACTGCCTCTTTGGAATCCCCCCAAAGGAGGACCCGTGGGAATAGCTGATGTCTTCCCTGCTCACAACCGGTTCTGTGTCTCTGAACTTGAGATCCTTGATAAACAAAGTAGCATTGACCACAGGCTGCAGGTCCCGTGGGTGGGCCCATGTTCCCCTCTGAGTGATGCCTGAGAGTCAGCCCCCCAAGACACGGAATGCAAGAGAGTCTCTCCGTCTTCCTTTATAGCGTCTCTCTTACTAATTCAGAATCCATTCTTTCACAGTAAGTAATGAGATAAGACTTAAGTGTAGGCTAGAATGTAACTTTGTGAAGGAGGTCATTGGAAAGGATAGAGATCAGTGACATAGGCCAAGGTGTCAGACCCTTTAGAAGCCTCTTTCCTACAAGTACGTTAATTGGAAAGCATGCTAGCCGGGCCCCTCCGGCAAGTTCCCCGCAGCGTCTGTTAGGCAGCATTGCTTTGACCCAGTCCTGTTTGTCTTAAATGTATTCAAAAGCCGTAAGTCTTCATTCCAGTAAAAACATTCTGTTCATCTTAGACAGCTCTTCTCTTCCACATGAATGTTTATAGCAGCTTTGGTTAATTTTTTTTTAACTGAGTGTTTTCTAAAAATGCTCTCTATCCCTCCTTTTAGGTTCGGTGGTCATGCGGTAACAATGGGTTGAAACAATATCAAGCCCATGGCCAGAGTCCATGTGTTTACAGGGGAGGGGAGCTATGTGGGTGACATTATCATCCCTTTTTATCTACAACGTCAGTAACTGTGAATGCCACTTTATCATGAATGATGACACTTTGGGTGTAAGCAGTCCCGAGCGCACTGGCAATGTGCGGAATTTACAGCTGGAGTGTATTAGATTTGACTTTTAAGCCCGAATCAGTGTCCTTGAACTGTCCTCCCTAACCGACAGTGTAACTCCAAGGCTCAGCAAGGAACGGAGGGAGAAGGATGGTGGCTCGTGGCTTCTCTGAGTGACAGTGGTGCCCTCCTCCACCTTCTCCCTCCCTCTCCAAGCCTGGAGAGCAGATAGCATGGGATGGAGAAGGGGCGACAGTTAGATTGCACAACTCAGGGTGCAGCATGTAAGGACGCGGTCCTGGAATTGGGCAGCTTTGTGATCCTGAGGAGAAGGGACCGTCTTTCTGACGTGGTGGACTGGCATGGTGGGTGGGCTTGGGCTTCAGTGAGGCACAGATCGGAGCCCGCGCTTGTGAGCAGCTGAGAAGACACGAGCAACAGTAGAAACAGGTGGAAGCTCTATGAAGCTACTCCCCCTGCCGGGGATCTGGCCCAAAGCTTAAGCTCTCAGCAAGGAGGAGTCAGATTATTCAAGGCTAACTGTCAGCCCTGCCCTTCCACCAGTGTTAGGCAGTATTAGGAGTCATTGTCCCTTGTCCTCTGAGGTACCACCCAGACACAACTTAGCATCAATGTGTGGAGTGTAGAACCCTTCCTGCTCTCATCTCAGGTGAATTACAGAGTAAAGCTCTCAATAGGCTAGTACAGATAGCTTCCTACTTTTAATTTTTATGCACAACAGTTGAACTCATACTGTTTTCACAGCTGTTGAATTAAATTTGAAATCATTACAAATGATTGTAGTTAATATTGGGTAGGGTCTGTGATGAGGAAGGATTTTCCTAACAAAGCCTCCTTCATCCAAAGAGAGAAACTAAACCTCTCTTCTTCATTATTTTTTAACCGGCTCCGTAACACCACGCTTCTGTAGTCCCGCTAATTTCTAGTTCTAGAATTAACTGCCAGAGAAGCTGCAGTTGTCCACATGGAAACTTGGCATGATTGTCCTTGAAAGGAAGAAATCCCACTTGCTTGGTATCAACAAGTCTCTGGTTAAAATAAGTGACTAAATATTAAGTAAAATGTACTTCTGGGGACAGAGCAGAAATGTACAAGCAGTTCATGAAAGAAATGAGAACCGCCAAAACATAGACTTTGTCCCTCCCTCTGAATGTTCCAAATTGTTAACACAGAGTTGCTCGGTGTTAATACTTAACCGAAGCAGGTGCTGAGCATTTGCAAGAAGGAGGCAGCATTTTCCTGCAGTTCTTCTCTGACCGTTTTCTCATACACATGAAGGCAGCTTTAAGGTCTCTGGATTTGCCAGGGAGCTTTTTACGACAAAAAGCTCTTTTGTCTCCCAAGTGGATTCCTGGTAAAGGCAGAGAGAGCATCTGAGGAGACTGATAGTGAATCTTCCTAGGATCATGCAGGGTCCTTCTGTCCAAGGATTGATCGAGCAGCACTTGGAGTTGGGTTGTGAGTGCCCCTGAGTGAAGCTAGATCCCCAGGTGGGGATGGGGGAAGGAGCTTTCCCTTAACCGTCTTGGGGAGGCGAGCACTACGATCCAGTCTACGACTAGGGCTCAAAATCAGGGGGTTGCCCAGATATGGGGCAGATTGCTTGGCCCCTCTAGTTTTGTTTTTTTTAAACATTTTTTATTGATTTATAATCATTTTACAATGTTGTGTCAAATTCCAGTGTTCAGCACAATTTTTCAGTCATTCATGGACATAT